ATTTAACATAGTATACAGTGAAGGTAATAAGTATTTGATCCCCTGCTGATTTTGAATGTTTGCCCACTCACAAAGAAATGATCAGTCTAAAAATTGAATGGTAGGAATGGTAGGTGTATTGTAACACTGAGAGACAGAATAGCAACAAAACATTCAAAAGAAATGCATGTCTAACAAATTATGCACTGATTTGCATGTTCATGAGGGAAGTAAGTATTTGATCCCCTATCATTCAGCAGGATTTCTGGCTACCAGGTGTCTTTCATACAGGTAACAAGCTGAGATTAGAAGCAGTCTCTTAAAGGGAGTGCTGCTAATTTCATGTTGTTGCAATAAGAAGAAGGGTCAGCCGCACACCGGAGGATAGATGAATAGAGTGTGTATTTATTAATCCATAGGACACACATGGACATGACTACAGGACCTGTTAACACGTTTCACACGATCTCGTGCTTAATCACAACAAAGAAAACAACAAAAGTGCTGTTTTATATAGGTATTAGTTAATAAAGAACACCTGTCCTAATCAGTACTCCTGAATCCTGAGGGTACGCCTACTAATACATTGTAACAAGACATATAAAACCATTGTATCAAAAGTAGTGGTCTCAGAGAACAACAAGAAAGGAGGAAAAGAAAAAAGGAAAGTGAAGTGGAATAAAAGGAGAAACAAAGAAAGAGAAAAAGAATAATGGATAAAAATAATTATGAAAAAATAATTATGAAAACATTATAAATGAAAAATAGAATAACAAACACAGATAAAAGTGAGTAAATATCCCAAGAAGATATGGGCTAAGAAGCCACATTTGTAAATAATCAAAATATTTAAATATTAATATATGCAAAAAAAGCATAAAAAAAAGAAAAATAATGCATGTCTACTTGGGATAAACACAGGGACAAGATTGTAGACCTACACAAGGCTGGACTGGGCTACAAAACTATTGCCAAGCAGCTTGGTGAGAAGGTGGCAACAGTTGGTGCAATAATTCGCAAATCGAAGAAACACAAAACACCTGTCAGTCTCCCTAGGTGTGGTGCACCATGCAAGATCTCACCTCGTGGAGGGTCAATGATCATAAGAACAGTGAGGAATCATCCCAGAACTACATGTGAGGATCTTGTCAATGATCTCCAGGCAGCTGGGACCACAGTCACCAAGAAAACAATTGGTAACACACAAGGATTGAAATCCTGCAGTGCCCACAAGGTCCCTCTGCTCAAGAAAGCACATGTCCAGGCCCATCTGAAGTTTGCCGCTGAACATCTGAATGATGCAGAGGAGGACTGGTTGAAAGTGTTGTGGTCAGATGGGACCAAAATCAAGCTCTTTGGCTTCCACTCAACTCGCTGTGTTTCTGACAAGAGATACAATTTCTCTTCCCTTGTCAAACAGATATAACAAAATGTTTTCTATTGTATATGTAACAGACCAAAAAGGAGCAACTAAGAGAGATTACATACACTTTAAGAGTCAGTGGAAATGCCAGGAGAACCCATCATAAACCATCTTATGGATCTTAAGCCATTCTACTCTGGATGCACCTGAAGGTGCCACCACAACATTCTGACATCTGAGGGAGTAACTACCCAGTATGTATATCGGCATTCTGAGCCTTATGGAGCCTATAGAAACTATACTAGACTAGCATCCAAGTCATTGCACAAACATGATATTCAGACCTCTGCTGGAAGAAAGTGTAAAACTTTTCTGACTGGACCTCCTTGATTTTTAATTCGTTACCCCTGCTCTTAAAAAGCATAAACCAAAAAGTATGTTTGTTCTTGTGACATCTTGTCTAGCACCTCCAAAAGGAAATAAAAAGGAAGTCCACCTGTTTTTTTTTTATTTTTTACAAGTTCTGGCCTGTGGATTTTACCTTTTTTTAACTGAATTTGAATACATCTAGAATAAATAGATTTTTATCTGCCAAAATTTATGCAATAAGCTTGAAATAACAAACATATTACTATGTACATATATTTAAATGTGAGTTTTCCTCTAGACCGAATACAATATAAATTGATAGTTGTCAATAATCTGCAATAGTTGAAACTGAATTATCACATACAGCCACTCAAATTATCTCATGTTAATTTTTTTAAATTCAATGTAGCAGAGATACACATTAACTGTATGCTCCATCATTGTGCTTTCTGAGCATCCATTATAAAAAAATAAATAAAATCCTAGGTTTTTGGCATGTGCACTGATAATTCCTTATTTTTAAAGAAAATGTGCTATCATTAGAGGTGTTATGGTCTCAAGGGAAATACATGGTCCCCAGCTCATATGTAGAAAATCTAAATGCTAATCAGTATCTACCCGGAGATAAACATCATGCACATTTCATAACCAGAAAAAAATTACTCTGTAGAAATGTATGATTACAACATGCATGGACTTTATGTTGTGATGCTTGGTCTGAAAAATTCAGTATGCTATACTATAACTAAGAAGCTGGATGTGCTTGTTTCTTTAGGCTCCATTGGGCTTAAAATGCCAATATATATACGGGGTCCTGACTTTCTCAGAAGTCACAATGTTGTGGTCAGTGGTGTATTCATTTCTTGTGCTGCCCTAGGCAACACAAGAATCATGCTGTGCTGTAAACCTCAACCTAAATAAAGTGCATACCAATCAATAAATAAAGGAGTGAATAAATAAATAAATAGATAAATAAATCAATAGCCTACCTACCTATTTATTAGGTCATATAACAATGTAAACCATAACACAAACAGTTCACCAAAAGTGAATAATAAATAAATACCCTAGAGAGCCCAATAAACAAACTTTAATATATAATATCCCACACAGTCAGTGAATGTAAATGTGCAAACCTAAAACACACACCGCAATAAAAAAATGCACAAATGTACAATGAAAAATTCAACCGGTAAACGCACGGCTGACCATCTAGTACATGCCATGTAAAAATATATATAACTGTATATCATGAACACAATGAGGCATGGCTCACATACAGGTAAATAAACCAAAAAGTGAATTTAAAAAAGTGATATAATAATCAATAGAGTATAAAGTGACAGTTCACAGTGATAATCATAAAAAGTCCCAAAAAAATTCAAAGTGAATCTTCCTCTTGGTACATTGCTGTGTCCACCATCACCCAGCATGCATGCTCACCTCCAAGCGTTGACCTATAAATAACAGATCAAGAAGCCCTCAAACCAACATCCAACTTCCTCTGCAGGTCAGTGCTAGTGAGATTCCGCTCTAACAGGTTTCTGGCTTAGGGGTGTACTAAGCTCTAGCAGATCCCTCCTGTCTACTCCCCAGACTACAGAGCTCTGCATGACCTCTGGCAGGATTCCATTATATATGCAGTTTTCAGCCAAGATGGCTGTCCAGATCTGTGGGATTTTAGTATCCAGTAAGATTTCTGTCCTCCCCAAGATGGCTGCCTGGAATCCATAGCAGGAGACAATTAGTCTTTAATGGGTTCCTGCCATCCTGAATAGAACACCACCTTCAGGTTGGAGGATATACTGCAGCCTCCACCTGCCTACATACCATCAGGCTAAACAGGTAGTAAAATTATTCTCAGAAAAAAGGTGCGATGTTAATGCCATTGACTGACTGCATAATGTTTGTCATTTTTTTATTTTGCTCATAGTTTCACTTTAAAGAATACAATCCATTGAGCCTGATTTGCTAAATTGTAAGCATGTATCCTGTAGCATCAATGCGTATTTACTATGTGCTTTATTCTATACACCCTAATATAAATTTTAGCTGCCTTGGTTTCAGTGACATAAGCAAGGTTATAGTATACGTAAACTCAACATTTCATATTCCTGATATGTGTCTGTTTTACCAGGTACTTGTATGAACAAGTACCCTGTTCTCTTTGTACTGCTTCCTTTGTGTGATATCCCTGGTGTTCCAGCCAATCCCTCTGCTTTCCTATAAAAAAAATGACTACACTGACACAGCATGGTCAGTTCTCTAGCTGTGCTGGGTACTCAGTGTGCTCCTCTCCATTGATAAGACTTTTTCCTGACACCCCCACCCCCCCCTGCACAGCAATTCACTGGAAAGATCAGTGTTCCGCTGTTTCTCCTCCTTATGCTCCTATGCAGCTCCTGTTTCTGCTCCTTATGCTCCAGCTGCTCTTATGCAGCTGAGAACAGAGGATATGTAATCACTTATAAAATAAAAAGGTGGGGGGTGTATATTATGTTTTTTATATCTATACACAAATGTTTTAAGTTTCATTTCTATGTTAAAGTCAACGGGTTGTCTTACAAGGTGAGCGTTTACAATCACTTCAACAAGAGTGATGATATTCTTTGCAACATACATTTATGCAATATTAAAATAGGATGAAATAATGCTACCACATACCTGACAGACTCCCGTGAAGTGTGAATTTTAATGATGATCAGTACACTTCAATAAGTACAATCCTTTCTTTTATATAAGAGGGAAATGATTTGATTCAGGCCACTGCCATTTTAATTTAGCTTAAGGGTTACATAAAACCTCCATCCAAGGATTCAGTTTAACCACTTGCCTACCGGGCACTTTTACCCCCTTCCTGCCCAGGCCAATTTTCAGCGCTATTGCACTTTGAATGAAAATTGCGCGGTCATGCAACACTGTACCCATATGAAATGTTTATTATTTTTTTGAGACAGATAGAGCTTTCTTTTGGTGGTATTTAATCACCTCTGGGTTTTTTATTTTTTGCTAAACAAACCAAAAACAACTGAAAAGTTTGAAAAAAAAAGTTTTTTTCTAAGTTTCTGTTTTAAAATGTTGTAAATAGGTGATTTTTCTCCATCACTGATGTGCGCTAATGAGGCTGCAGTGATGGGCACTGATAGGCGCCACTGATGGGCACTGATGAGGAGGCACTGGTAGGTGGCACTGATGGGCATTGACAGGCATCACTGTTGGGCACTGAAAGGCAGCACTCATATATGGCACTGATTGGTGGCACTGATAGGAAGCACTGACTGGCAGTGATAGGCGGCACTGACGGGCACTGATAGGCGGCACTGATGGGCACTGATAAGCAGCACTGTACTGGCACTGATAGGTGGCACTGACTAGCACTGATAGGTGACACTGAAAGGCAGCTCAGATGAGCACTGATATGTGGCATTGATGTGCACTGGTAGGCACTGATATGTGGCATTGATGTGGCACTGATGGGCACTGACAGGTGGCATTGATGGACACTGACAGGAGGCACTGATGGGGCTACACTGATCATCAGGGCACTGATCATCAGTACCCTGATGATCAGAGTAGATGTCCCCTCTGAGGAATGCCGCTTACCGGCTCTTCTTTCCTCACGAGCTGTCGCGCTGACAGCTCGTGAGGAGAGGAATACCGATAACCTGCATTTCCTTATTTACATGCGATCAGTTGTGATTGCACACAGCTGATCACATGACAGAGCCAACGTCATCAGCTCTTTCCTCTTTCCGCTGATCGGTGATCCGCTGTGCCTGAGGGGCTGTCATTTTCTTATATGGCGGGTGGGAGGTGGATAAGAATGATTAAAGTGACAGACAGGGCTGGATCTAACTAGTATGATATGGGGGTGCAGTACAAAATGTCAGGGGGGAATAGGATATGAGGTCTGCAGAGCAGTTTACAAAAACAGCAATCAATAGCGGAGTGTACTGGGGGTCAACAGGTCAGAGGATAGGGTTTAGCAGAACTGAGGGCAGGAATCAGCACTTTGTAGGGCAACCGATCAACTTCTGTACAACTAGCCTCTAGGAAAATTTCCACATGATCAGGATCACCAGTTACAGCTGGCAGCACTTATCAGTTCTAAGTGATAAGTCTCTCCGCTGTCAGAACACAATACCTCAGCAGGAGTGATTTCCACATCCACATGGGAACCACGCTCTTGAACAAAGAACAACTAATGTATAGACTGCCTTACTGAGCCTACCATAAGGAAGAATTTCATTAAAACCAGCAACTGCTGAGACAATGAATACCTTGGTCAGGTCTATTTACTGTATATTAATGCAGAATGTACAGAGTACAGGGGTTAGGTGTACTGATTGACTTAGGTGTAAATAATATACAAAACAACATACAGACTGCAACAGTTAGGATGAGTGCCTCATTCACATCAGTGTCCCCAAAGTGCCAACACCTTACACCAGAGTCGGTCAGAGTCTGGCAGAGTTTCCCCTTACATCAGATTCTGGTAGACTCCCCTTCTTACATCAGAGTCTGGCAGAGTGTTCCCTTACATCAGATTCTGCAGAGTGACCCTTCCATCAGATTCTGGCAGAGTCCTCTTTTTACATCAGAGTTTGGCAGAGTGATCCCTTTAACCACTTGCCCTCCTGAGGATTTACCCCCCTTCCTGACCAGGCCATTTTTTGCGTTACAGCGCTGCATTACTTTAACTGACAATTGCGCGGTCATGCAATGCTGCACCCAAATAAAATTTATATCCTTTTTCCACATAGATCTTTCTTTCAGTGGTATTTGATCGCTTGTGAGCTTTTTATTTTTTGCGCTATAAAAAAAAAGACCGACAATTTTGAGAAAAAAACAATATTAAATTTAAAAAATCAAATGTCATCATAAATTTACAACAAAATGTATTCTGCTACATGTCTTTGCTAAAAAAAAATCCCAATACTTGTAAATTAATTGGTTTATATGAAAGTTATAGCATTTACAAATGGCAGTACATATACTGGAATTTATTTAAATTGTTTACTAGTAATGGCAGCGATCAGCGGCTTATAGTGGGACTGGTGAACAAGAAGCCAACTTTTGGGAGCTGCCAAACATTTATTTGTTACATGCTATCAACACATGGAGAGATAAGGAGATGATTAGTAGGAAGTGGAAAGACTCCCTGGAGGAGAGAGGGAGAAATCCATCCATTCACTATAATCCAGGAAATCAGGGCTCTGGATGACATCAAGACCCGCTGTGGAAAAAGCATATCACTACACTCCATCCATCCATCTGGGATAAGGATACAGCCTGAAAATAACCCAGAAGTCCATTTAAAGGGACACAAGCTGTTTTTGACCTTACTTAACGGTTTGGTCAAAAAAATAAGGTGAGAGCATATAGGAGAAGAAGCCCTTTATGGGAAAATATCATGGAGTGGACTTTTTGATTAATTTTATACATTTTATTTTGAATTAAAATTGTATTTAATTTCTTTTAATTTGATTTATTTTATTTTATTTAATCACAATTGATATAATTAAATTATATAAATGTTGTTGCTTTAAGATTGCACATGAATTGATGGTTGATTTTTTAAAAATTAGTATGTTTCTTTGGAGGATCACGATATGATATATATGATTATTATATTTAACAGATTTGGTCACATAAGGTTATCAATAGACTTAATTAATATCAATTGGTTACTAGTGGAGCGCGCCACATATTTCACAAATAATTGACTTTAGGTACACAATAATATGGGTATGTGTATGGTGTAAGCAACCCACACGTTTAAAATTAAAATTTATTGTTTTTTTGTAAATTTATTTTTAATACACCATAGTAGCACACAAGCACTACAACTACACTATGATGTTTTGCTTCATGGCTGCAGCAGGAATTATATACTCTGTTGCATTTTGTGTGCACAGTGCCTGCTGAACATGACCCATTAAAGTGAATGGAGCACCTCATAAGCACCCCACAACTGCATGCAATGTATGTGGTTCCAGTGCACTAGTGTGGGGTTCTAGGGGTTAAAGCAGGTGGTGAGGACAACACCTCCTCACTGCCTGCCAAATGCTCTCTGAAGAGCAATCTGAATGCAAATCGCTCTTCAGAGACCAATACTCAAGTAAACTGGTCCCTACAACCATGCTGGGGATGGGCAGAAAGGTATTAAAACAGAAGCATCACAAACCTGTGAGTTAAAACCCCAGCAGTTTAGCCAACTAGCAGATTGCCAGCTATACCCAATAGTACTAAAGTTGTCCCTGAGTGCTAACTGGACATAAAGGGGGGGGGAGGGGGAGAGAAGGAAAGGAGATGGGGAGAGTTCAGCATTGGGCAGAGCTCAGCTCACTCACCCCACTCTGATCTGGTGGCTCAGGCAGAGGCTTCAATTTTGCAGCCACCATGTAGTTGCCAGCTGCAGTGCTTCAAATTTCCCACCCACACATCTTCTCAAGTACAGCCCTGATTGGGAATTGCAATGTCGGTGGAGCAGACACAAGGAAAGGGGTGGGGCAAACATGAGGAGAGGGGCGGGGCAGACACAAGAAGGGGCGGGGTAGACACAAGGAGAGGGGCAGGGCAGACACGAGGAGAAGGGGCGGGACAGACACAAGGAGAGGGGCGGGGCAGACACAAGGAGAGGGGCAGGGCAGATACGAGAAGGGGCAGGGCAGACACGAGGAGAGGGGCGGGGCAGACACAAGAAGGGGCGGGGCAGGCACAAGGAGAGGAGCGGGGCAGACACGAGGAGAGGGGCGGGGCAGACACAAGAAGGGGCAGGGCAGGCAAAAGGAGAGGAGCGGGGCAGACACAAGGAGAGGGGCAGGGCAGACACGAGGAGAAGGGGCGGGACAGACACGAGGAGAGGGGCAGGGCAGACACAAGGAGAGGGGAAGGGCAGACACGAGGAGAAGGGGCGGGACAGACATGAGGAGGGGGTGGGGCAGACACAAGAAGAGGGGTGGGAGGAGGTGCACATCAATCTCTCCTCTCCTGTCAATGCAGGGAAGGGGATGGGGAGTGTGCTGGCTGGACTGTGTCACAGACACTAGACTTGATAGATGCAGCCAGCCGCTTTACACAACTTCAATTGATCGTCCGCAGGTCACCTGGGTGGGCACAACTGATATCTGAGGGCAGGGGGGGGCATAGCCCACCCCAGCACCCCCTTAGATCCGGCCATGGTGGCACAAAAGTTATGGCCACTTAATCCTTCCATGCCACTTTGTCAGGGAAATCCTTTTCCACAAACCCTTAACTAACAGAATGCTGTTAGCTTACAGTAACAGAAACTGGAGTGTCTATTGGGCAATAGAAAAAAGAAATTCCACCACATATTTTTTTATTTCAGCCCAGTTTAAAAAAAGCTAAAGCTACTCATTTTCTGCTGTATTTTACTACCTTTAGTCGGGGAAATTTATTTCAAAACAGATTTTACCTACATATATGCAAGTGACATTTCTACTCATTTTTTTTTAAATTAGAAAAGCGTTTATTGAACAAAACTTAGGTACAATTTCCAAAATGTCTGTGTCACAAAACAGCATACAGTAAAGATGGTAATGAGCATTAGAGTACAGATTCTGAGAAATCATACAAGCATAGTATAATAAAGCAGTAAGCAGTAGAGATGGTACGACAACACACCCCCACTTTCTTTAGACAAGGCAAAAACCAATAAAAAAAAATCATGACTAGAGCGGTATTATGATCATTCATATTCCATATGAAATTGGAACTGTCCTAGAAAGACAACCCCTCCACTAACAAGTCTAACCATATCCTAACAAATGAGGCAGCACCAACTCCACTGGAGCCAGGCCAGGAATGGAAAGCCAGCCATCCTATAGTTTGATAAATTTAGCCAGGCATCCTCTATGTTTGTATATAAGTTTCTCATAACGCAGGGTGGTATGCATGTCATTAAGCCAGTCCTGCGTACATGGGGGCAAAGGGCTATTTCTCTTCATTTACACCTTGAGAGTCTTTCATTGGAAACTGTCCCTACAACACTCCCATCTAAGAAGTCTAAAAACAAACACAAGCAAATTCACAAAAAAAAAAATGTCATTTGTGCTGGTCCCAGCAAACGGTAAAAATTGCCTTTTTTGAAGATATTCCCTATTTACAGCAATATTGCCAGCTTGCAGCCTCCTAGATCATGCTGTGCTTTGAAACATCTGCTGCTGGCTGATCATTCAACCCAATGCACAGAAAGTAATTTGTGATGGAGCAGCGCCTTTTAGTAGTCGCCAAGAACAGCTAGAATACAACAAATAGATGCGAACACATGGCCAAGCCATGCTGCTGGAATCATAGATAATCTACAGTAAATGTAACATCATATTTTTTTTAAAAAAAGCTTTAACAACAAGTACAACTGTGCATCATTAGTTAAAAGGACATTTGTCATTTAATGATCCAATTATCTGACTCCCACTGAAAAAAAAGTGGAGCAGGGGCAGCAGCAAAGCAGTATTTACTCTAAAAATGTAGCTGTCACTATAATTGCATGAAAGGATATAGGAGTGTAATAAAGTGGTATTAAACCTAAAATCAAACATTTATAATAATTGCAGCTTACTAATTCTTAGATGTGATGGCTGTATTCCTTTTCTTTTTTAAGCTTTCTTTCTTCTGTTTTCAGCTGGTGATCCAACCAGAAAATCTGTTGTTTTCAAAAGAAAAAGCTGTCCAGCAGAATTTATCAGTTACAGAGATAAGACAAACTATGTAACGCTAGCTTGGTTGCTTTCAATGATCAGCTTTTTTTTTATTTATATAAAACCTTTATCCCAAAAGGAAAAACAACTGTTTGCTGTAACTGCGTATAAAGTATTAGCTGGAGTTTGGCTTCAATTTGTTTTGTGTATCTAAATGTGCTAATACATCTAAAACTACCCTCCTACCAGACTGGCAATGCTGCTGTCCAGAGGTGACCCTGTGCTCCTTCATCCACAGTGGGGGCACTCTAATACAGCAGGTGTGTTACTGACCAGATCACCAGGTGAAAACAGAGGGAAAAAAATCCTATGAAAAGAAAACTAATGCAGCCACCACATCTAAGGATGGGCAAGCTACAATATATTAAATTTTTGGTTTTGGGTGTAATACCACTTAAATCAAGCTGCCTTCTTCCTGAGAGTATAGGCATAAAGCGGAGATTCTTCAAGGAACACAGTTTTAATTTTTCTTAGTAAAGAGCCAATATAAGTTTTTCACCTTATATAGGAAATGATCTGCATTATGATACATCATTTTAATTCATGCTATTTAGTTCAGCAGTTGACCCTTTCGGTAAGATGGTGATATATCATGTTTATAGAAAGTAACTTTTAGACAATGTTCTGTCATTGGGCAATTTGTTGATTAATGAAAGGTGTTGTGTGCTTCTTTATCAGGAAGAAAAAACGTGCTGTAATGATGATGGTCATTGTAGTCCTTTTCTTCACAGCCTGCTGGGCTCCCTTCCATGTGGTCCACATATTATTTGAATACAGTAAGTTGTGTACATGGACTGCACATAGAGCGTAGGAGGAAAAGTACAGAATTAAACAATATGTGTGGATTAGGTGATTCCATGAAATAGATTAATGTTACACAGATTTACAATATGTAAAAAATAAACCCAAAAGGAATTTTGGAGAATTTCCCACCTCCTGACTAGACTAGATGAAAGTATGGATCTAGTCTAGTCACAGATAGAAGTCTGTAGAGCATTGGCTGTTAGCAGTCTAGGCACTATGGGCCTGCGGCACTTCGCTGTATGCTTCAAAATGATTTCTCAATGTATTCTTATTGTTTTGAAAATATTATTTATTTTTAAAAATAACATTCATCAACCTTTGGTTCTGATGTACAGTATTTCACAATTTAACCTCTTCACGCCGGCAGCACACAAATGTGCAGCCTTCCGTCATCTGGGCCTAGACACCGAGCGGCCGCACATTTGCGTGCAATTAACAAAAAACATATGTGCTGAGAGCGCGCGCCCTGCTTGCTCCCAGCACACATGTTCGGTACTCGCAGAAAGGTCCCAGTCTGCTCTTTGGATGACGCATCACGGCAGTCACATGATCCCTAAAGCCCGCCCGTCCCGCCTTCTGAAACTCTTAAAGGGCTGGGAGGCACTAGCGGGAAGGGGTTAAAAATGATTCTGATATATTTTGTTAATATGGGTGCTTAAAGTATATTTGTAGCTAAGATGTTGTTCTGGATAGAGTATGAAAAAGTTAGAGTCCGTGTCAGTTAATGTTTTGCTGTCTGTGTGCTTTTGCAAAGAATTCCCTTTACCTTTGTTTTGCCCTGAATCTTTTAAGGTTCTTTGTGGTAAAAGCAGGGAAGTATAAAAACCTCTGTAGTATATTAATGTGTTTTACTAAACAAAAATGTTGCACATACAATTGTAGGAACAACAAATCAAGACATACAAAGTATTACAAAATATGCACAAGCTATCTATTCTTTATAGCAAATAACAACGTACAATGTATATGATAGGCATCCACTAAACAGTTACTTAACTTGGTTCTTCCTGGGGATTGAGTCTTCTTTCTTTCATTCAGGATATCTTCAGACTGCCTCTTGCTTCTTGGAGTCCAGCAAAACTATTATTGCTGCTCCTTTGTCTTGAGCACATAGTTGTGTCCAAGCTCTTTTCTCCCCTTCTTCTTGCTGCCTACATCACTTTCTGTAGCATGAGCCAATGATCCAGTCCAAAAAGTTCATTAGCATATGAATATGGAAAGCCTTGCTTCAACCTATATTTATGCCTTAAATATAACTAAATAGCCATAGCAATATAACTTTCTGTCCCAAAAAACACAACAGGAAGTGAGAAGTAATCTCCCCAAAGTCAAGGTTCCCTCTTGCTCTGGTAACACCCTTATAATTTTGTTGTTATCACTTTCTTTTTTTTTACTGATAATAGTAAACAGGACAAAAAGAAAAAGTGAATCTCTTGGGGACACAGACAGCAATAATAAAAATTGACAGTTTCTAACTCATTCCAAAAAAAAAAAAACCCCCCAAAAATGTTTGCCTTTTCATATATCATATACATACATTTTATATCTATGGACTAACCCATTACCTAGTCCACCAAATCTAAGATCAACTATCTCCCTTTTGTGAGTGAGCAGTGATTCACCATACCCAGGAGCCAATGTTTCTGCAATATGGTGGCTTTCAATCACAGAGAATAATACACTGCTTAATCTAATCCCATGTTATGTACTTGTGCTTTTTGCAAACTTAAAGTAGAATTTAAGGCAAAACTTTATTTTTTTGCCTTTTGAATAGAGTAAGGTAGGTTTATAATACCTTAAGGTTTATTTTTACCATTTGTGTCTGTGTGTCTTCACTTCCCTATCCTATAGCCAGAACAGGAAATCCTTCCAAAATGAGGAAATTCCTGATTACCTCAAGAGTAGCCAGAACTAGCATCCTCATTGGAAGATATCCCCTCTATTTCTGTTATTGTGACAACCCAAAATTTGGGATTTTTGGTAATAGTAGTAAACAGGACTAATCGAGAGGGTGAATCTCCCTAACAGGGGCACAGATACCAATAAAAACCTGATAGATGGGTTCTAATCCCTCTCTACTCCATCCAAAATAAAAAAAATTTTGCCTTTAGTTATACTTTAAACATACCAGCCTAACAGCACAGTGTGCTTTGAACAACTGAGAAGGTTACAAGCTTTCAAAGACTTGCCAGACATAATTTATCTTGATATGCTCAGCTATTCAATTCTAGGACAGACATTTCAAAATGTCTTGTTCTACTGCAGATCTTTCCCATTCACGTCAATGGCCATGATCAACTTTAGTTTTTTTTGTAATGGACCATAGCTAAAGCTCAGCATGCATGTTAGGATCTGACCACAATACCACTGTACATTAAACTTTAGATCTACCAAAACTATGTAATATGAGGACCTACATACCTACCCTACCACTTTTAATCCGTACAGGCAGCCTTTTGTACTACATTCTTGTTGGTAGATCTAAAAAGAGATTTTACAATCATATTGTAACTTGTGTGATGAGCTTTTTACTGCTATATAACAGTGTGTGCCTCCAAATTCTACCCTTTAAACAGCTTCTGATGCCCCAAAGCTCTAGATTGAAGTTAAACTCCAGGCAAACAAATAAATACACAGTTGAAATACATACTGTAAATGTATACTGTTTTGCCTGCCCCAGGATTTATAATTATGCCTAGCCATTTCTATGGTGGTCAAAACAGTTCCTTCCTGGTTGATCATCATGGAATCCTGTCTCTTCTTCCTGCTCACTGGACTGAAATGATGAAAATTCACTGTCAATTTAGGAGGCTGGAGCAGACAGGTGACACATATTCACTGTCAATTTAGAAGGCTGGAGGCAGACCGGTGACAAAGGAAGATGAATTACTGAACCGGGAAGATGATTTGCTTAATTATGAAGTATATGTGGTCCTAGTTGACTGTGCCAAATTCAAGCATATCTCTATTTATTTAGAATAAAGCAAGATAAAATCTACGACATTTTTCACCTCTTGCAATTATGGCTTCAATGCTCAGTGTTGATGAGTTGGGATGGATTTCATTTCATGTACAACCATATTTACAGAGAATGGTTTAATAAATAAAGTATGACCTTTGTTCTATTTTTCACACCCCTATTACTGTCTACAGATGACCTGGAAGAGGAATATGATGATGTCACAGTAAAAATGATTGTGGCCATTGTACAAGCAGTTGGATTTTTTTTCAACTCCTTCAACAACCCAATGGTTTACACTTTTATGAATGAAAACTTTAAGAAAAGCCTGGTGGCTGTGCTGTTCTGTCACTTTAGAGTTCAAGAACAAGCTGAGAAACGGGACTGTAAAAATCTGGAGAAGCCCAAGGTTGGGACATGCAACTTTCCTCATAGGAGAGAAGGACGGAGCCCTCACAGTCAACTCAGCGCAGAGAACTTGGAGCTACGTCTATGTGAGCAATTTCCAGCTGCCAAACTGGAGTCTGTCACCTACCCTCTTGTAAACTCTCATAAAGACCTCCTACCCAACGGACAGTCTGCATAATCACCACTGAACCAGAAATGGGCTTTCAGTCAAAGGAAGCTTTTTACAAGGACACAAAATAATAGGAAGCAACAGCTTTAAGTGATGTTTAAGAACCATGGCATTTATAATACTGTTGTTCATTTTATACTTAAAGGGCATATTTCTTTCCTAATGCCCCAATCAGAACATGCATTTTCAGGTAAACTTTGTGCCAATAAAAGGCTATAACTCAAAGAAGTTAACTAGTTAGATGGGGCTGGAAACAGGAGTCAACCCCTCTTGCACTAGTCCTCAGATCCTTTTGGTAGTTACATGGATCCAGTGCATGCATTTTGAAGCTCTGCAGATCAAGTTCTCAGGGAAAAAGAGTTAGAATAAGAACAGTTTGATACAATAGCTGTAAATATTATGTACAGTTCAAGCAGGACTTATATGTGTGTGTGTTTGTTTTTTTTGCATCTGGGTACAACCAACTTATATCCTTTCTTGTTCTTTAAAGACTGAATAAAATTGATACAAAATAACAGTATTTCATTATCATTTCAGAAAATTAGATTTTTATTTTACTTTAGCAGTTACCATATGTGTCATAAATATAGAAACGCATAACTGCTATTCCACACATACACAATCGGGGACCCGTCCTGCCATCAATATATTTTGAGAGAATAGGAGAAACTCTTAGCATATACCAATAGCAAGATGAAGGTTGAGTACAACCTTTTCACCGGTCTATTATTTTCCAATTGAAGAGATGTTTAGGAACCATGAAAGTTAGACACATAGGATTGGTTCAAAATATTCACTTAGGAAAAGACCTAAAGATGTAGCTTTCAGCCACACTGCATCTGAGGTTATTGTGGTGGATGTACAAGGTAAGAGGGGTGGGGAGCAAGTTTTTTTATTAGCAAATATGAACTTGTATTTTATATATTCAGATATAATATTATAATATGAAAAGTTCTAAGAGTGAAACCCTGTCATCCTAGGAAAAATAAAACAGACATTGGAAGAACATCTGATTACTCCATTAACTCCCAGGAAATACCTTTTGCTGCTTTATTTGGCTCTCACATCTGTTTCCAACTTATCTTTGTTTTTTAGAAAAGAAAGATAAAATTCTTAGAAATTGTCCACCTTTTGCAATTATGGTTTCAGTGCTCAATATTGATGGGTTTGAAATGGAGTTCACTTTATGTATGACCAAATTTTTACACTGCTTCCTTGAAATATTTAGCACATAGTTAGTCTGGCTGAAAAAAGACAAAAGTCCATCTATTTCAACCATGATAAAAAAAGTTATAATCCTATACCCACACTTGATCCTGAGGAAGGCAAAAAACCCAGCAAAACATGATCCAATTTGCTCCTGCAGGGGAAGATATTCGGATAGTCCCTGGATCAACTTTACCTATAAATGTTAGTAACCAGTTATAGTTTGTGTATCCAAGAAAGAATCCAGGCCTTATTTAAAGCAATCCACTGAGCTGGCCAGAACCAACTCTTAAGGGAGTCTATTCCACATTTTCACAGCTCTTACTGTGAAGAAACCTTTCCGTATTTGGAGATTAAATCTTTTTTCCTCCAGATGTAAAGAGTGCCCCCCTTGTCCTCTATGATGACCTCAGGGTGAATAACACTACACCGAGTTCACTATATGAACCACTGATGTATTTATACATGTTGGTCATATCCCCCTTAATCTCTTCCTCTCAAGAGAGAATAAATTCAGTTCTTCTAATCTTTCCTCATAGCTGAGCTCCTCCATGCCTCTTATCAGTTTGGTTGTCCTTCTCTGTACCTTCTCCAGTTCCCCAATGTTATTTTTGTGAAGCCAAAACTGAACTGCATAATCCAAATGAGGTCTTACTAATGATTTGTACAGGGGCAAAATGATATCTCTCTCTCTGGACTATATACCTCTTTTAATACAAGCACAATATAAGCACTTTTGCACTGCAGCAAATTACCTCCATGTAAAACACATCTGGCAGGCCTGCTTTGTAGAGATCCAACATGTGAATTTGCCCATTAGGTCAAACTGTCTTTGCCACCAAGGAGTATTATATTGATTTTTCAGCTTGCATCAATTTATCATCTGATTTTCAAATATATATTTGCATCAATACACTAAATGAGTTTGCTTTGTTGACTTCATAAGTTGACCTTGAAAATATAAAATGCAAATGCCACAAGTTAAGTAGCAGCATTTGATTATTTTTTTGCTTGAACTGAACCTGTTCTGCACTAGTGTTTTTTTTTTCTGAGTGTACTTAGCTCCACATCCACTAACCTATGATGTACAGAGGACAGACATGACAACAATACAAAATGAAGATCAAGTGTACATTAAGCAGGACCACTTCATGCACATTAGTAAGACTGCCTTACCAAGGTGGTGCTAAGTATGGAATATAAATTCATGAATATATGTTGTACATATTGTTCCTGTTATCATTCAAAATCATTGGATTGGTAAAGCCCTGTCATTGGCATTAATTAAAGCAAGATATACATTTCATGTCCACTTAACACAAACTTCTGCATTGTTATTGATAATCACTGCTTTCGGGGACTCTGGCAAGCAGATCTATTTCCACATTTTAAATGGCTGGTATCAGACCAAATTACAGTTCTCATAATTCAAAGCTACCCATATGCCTTTTCAGCATTTCCATTTTCCAATATTTGATGGACAGATATAAGAAACTGTAACTTCAACATACACTATCACATGGGTGATACAAAGATCTTCTAATAGTGGGATAACTGACACCCAGACAACCATATTCCGCTGAGATTTGTCTGTCATTTCTCCAATGACTGGGCAACCAGGTTTAAATGACAAACAGATATAGTGCATGTGCTGTGAATGGTTTGACCCCCTTTCCACAAAAAAGAACAATAAGAAACTGGTCTCCACATGTGAAAATGACCACTTCATATAACTGGTCAGTTGTTAGCACTTACTAGCAAAATTTTTGAATATCTACCAGAATTTTATTGTTCTCGGTGTCCTGTTGAGGAGATGTTTCCTCCATCGCTGGAAAATTAAGTAAGGAGCAATCAATCCAAATGGAGACAAAATCAACAATAAAATAACATTTTAAGTATAGTGCAGATGCTTAAATTTTATGTTATGTTTTATTTTTTGTCAATATATCCACTAGGGGAAATTCTCCCTTATTTCCAGTTGTACTTTAAGGGTTTCACCAGGCAGCAAGGGAAAATCTTCCAAACAGGAACACAAATAGCATTTAAAACCTAACAGGTTCTAACCCTTATCCACTCTGACCAAAAAAGAAAAAGAAAAAATAGTTTTGGCTGAAGTTGTGGTCTAACACCTATTTGGGCCATTCATTACATCCATGCGTCTAACATTGCACAAGACTCTGTAGAGATGTAAAGGCTGGCAGAAGGAACCACTGATTGCTGAGGGTTAATCAAGAGATTGATCTTTTTGGAAGTTCTTTTTCCTGCAGAAGACCTCACTTGAGGATTTCTCTGGATCAGAGCAGAGTTCAGCAGGAGAGTTTTGGTACATTCATTCTTCTTTACAGGTATTATTAAGCATTTGTTGTTTCAAGACACGGTCACTTCAGGAAAGAATAACTATCAAATACCCCCCCCAAAAAAAAAGTAACCTAGTTCAACATAAGATAAACTTTTTAAGGAATCCCCAAGCCTTGACGAGGTAGCTATGTATGGACAATTCATCTCAATAATCTTCTTTCATTTTAACTATTTTTTAAATAAAAAATAAAAGAAACAATTTTATTTTCATATGCAGTATAATCCTCCCTTGTGCAGAAATCCAAAAGCCCAGAGTCTGCTGTTGAGCATCTTAGATGTGATGTTAGCAGCCCTCCCAGTCGCTCAAGTGACATTCTATAGCATCCTTTCTCAAACTATTGATCCTTGAGGACATTCGCAGCAAGGTCTCCACTGTGTCCTTTAATGAATGAAAGAGAAATGGTAACTTTGCTTTGGTGCTCAGGGAAAAAAAAAAACGTTAACTCCACATTGGTGTTTAGGGAAAAACCTTCATTTTTTTGCATTGGTTCTCAGGTAAACAAATGTTTTTTCTCGAAAACCAATGCAAAGTTTATCTTTGTTTAAAACTCACCTGTGGTTTAACACCATAGGCCAGATGCAGGTGGCCTGAAGGCTGCCTAATGGCCTCTGTCATCCCCCCTTCTCCCACCATTCCTTGCCCAGGCTGTCTCAGGAGTCATAGGAGGTCTCTCCACCCACCCCAACTTACCTGGCTTTGCTTGCACTTTCTCACTTCCTGCACTGTTATCCTTTCTGATCCATTCCAGAGAGAAGATGGGCTCCCACTCTACATGCGCTAGGGACTACATAGATTGGTGGGGCTGGGGGCAGAAGTGCACAAGTGCAGGGACTCCAGGCAGTGGTTGGTTGTCAGGGCAAAATAAGCTTGGTGTAGTCAATGCCTATAGGTCCTGCTCTCTGGTGGTACCAAGCAGTAGTTGCAGCAGGAAAAACTAAGTCATTGTTGGGCAGATCAGCTTAAAAGGTGAACTTTGGTTGAAAAACCCCACTCTACAGTATTCCTCTTCACTCCACCCTCATCAGCTACGCTAAAGGTTATATAGGCGGTGAGAGGTGCAGCTGAGCCATCACAGATAATATTTAGAACAGTGGAGACCAACATGAAAATATTAGGGGTTTCAAATGTGCCCCGAGACTTCCCAAAAGCTGCACAACAGTGACGCATTGAGGTATCTTGCAACCAGCTGGGCAGCCAAACCTTGCTTCAAGTTGAGCGAAGTTCTTGTGAAACAGCTAGACTTTTGGATCTGCCTGGAGTGACTCCAGTCCTCAGCACACAGACATAGGCTTGTGGAAGGATGATGTGCACACAGGAGCAACAATGTGCACATCTCGGTCTCCTCGCAGCAAAGAGAAAGCTCTTATACAGCTGTAAATACAGATTTCTCTTTAATTATGCCTGGCTCGCATTGGGAATTGTAGTCCAGTGGTCCATAGATTGC